TTTTTAGGGTTCTTTTTTTTTTTTTTTTTTAATTGTAAAAGGTGTCTTTAAATTGCGGAGAATACAGAGAACATGTAGAAAACCTATCATTTATGCAAAGAAATCTCTTACAAATTGTTACTATTGACAACGACCCTTTTAGCTTCTTGCTGCTACCATTGAATGGAATCCCATGCCTTCCATTATCTCCAGCATAGCCTTCTGATAATCAGGTAGAAACTTCTCTTCTAATAATGGTTTTTTCAAACGGAATTACGGATGCTCCATTCTATTAGATACACACTTATCCTTTGCTCTGTTCAGTGCCTTCTTCACCTTTTAGAGGACTTCCTGTTGGTGACCCTTCAACACTTCCTCCCTCTCTTCAAACACCTGGCCCTGGGAAAAGACGTCAAACCCATTCTGTATGAAAATTTTCACATGCCTGAATGGTTTCAGATTCATGGATATCCTTTAGCACAAGATTTACGAGACGGATAGTAGCTAGCATGTTCGAGTGGATCATGCTATGAAGTCAGTCTGCACATTCTTTCCACTTAGAGCTTTAGTAGATGAAGTAAGAAGAAATTCATGAAATGTGTCCACATTGTATGTTATTTCCATCTTAGGTTGAAATAATGTCCTTCGCAAATTGAATACCATATTCCTGTTTACTTAGTTTATATTAGTATATACTCCAACACGAAATTACAAGTCCTGTTATCTGGGCAAACAAATGGCCATTGCATGAACTCCAGTGGGCTGATCCGTGGAAAGGAAAAGGCCCATAAAAGGTTATAACGAAGGAAAATAAGGGCCTGTTTGTTTGGCATCTTTTTGAACAGAACAGAAGTGACAGCGATGACACATTTTGAGTAGCAACAGAGAAGTTGCCATTTGGCATTGGATAAGTTGAGACTTGAGACTGTAAGGAGGGAAGCGATGGCGGTACAGCTCACCCATCTTTACGGTACACCCATAAGGCAACGGCCAACGCCGCCGCTCACCGGGCGGAGGACTGCCATATCTCAGGTGAGAGCCGTCGCCGAAAATGCTCAGGAGCTCCTGAAGTCTGGCGAGGTTCAGGCAATTAGGCCGAAGGAAGCAGTGACGGCCATAGATTCGGAGGGGTTTAGACTTTTGGACATAAGACCGGCATGGGAGTGGGAGAAAGCTAGAGTGAGAGGGTCAGTGCATGTGCCGCTGTTTGTGAAGGACGAGGATAATGGTCCTATTGGTCTTTTGAAGAAATGGGTGCATTTTGGCTACATTGGACTTTGGACTGGCCAATACCTGACGACCTTGAATCCTGATTTTATTCGTGAAGTGGAGGCGGCTGTTCCTGATAAGAACGCCAAGCTCCTTGTGGCTTGTGGCGAAGGGCTAAGGTGAGATTTTTAGTTTTTGCAATTCAATCCACTCTTAGTGGCTGATTTCTTGTGGCTGCAGGCTGCCAACGTTTCTTCGGCTAATTCCTTAGAACTTCAGTTTTGGAAGAAACGAACACTAAGGATTGGTAATTTTGTGCCATTAGATACAGAGAAAAACTAGGAAATTGTTATTTGATCAATATATTTATTTCTTACTTCTTAGCTAGTGGTGGTCACATTATAAATAATTTCTTTTATAGTTTTAAGATAACCCTCAGTGTAGAAATACTTTTCGCTTTTAGTGAATTTGCAGAATAAGGTACTCTTTAGACTTACCTTTGGCATAAAGAAAAGTTACTTTCTAAAATATGAAGTTGAACTAGAATTTTGGATAAAACGCCATTTTGTCTTTGGCTTCTTATCATACAAGCTTTAATGTGTATTTTTAGTATATGAACTTCGTAAGAATCTAAGTTGTTTGAAGTTTAAATTTTTGTTTAATTGTTCTATATAGACATTCCTGCCCACTGCACATTTTCACAGAGTATAAACATAATATGTAAATATTTAACCTTACGGTGAATTCTTGTCTTCTTGGTCAGGTCTTTGGTCGCAGTGGTGAAGTTGTACAAAGAAGGATACAAGAACTTGGGGTGGCTGGCTGGAGGCTTCAATCGTGCCAATGAGAGCGACTTCCCGGCCGTCGAAGGGCCAGAGAAACTACAATACGCAACAATCGGAGGAGTTTCTTACTACTTCCTCCAATTGCTTATCCTCTTGCAAGCGGTGGGTAAGAACAGCTGAGACCATCCATATTCGCTTCTAATTCCTTTTGGGTTTTTTTTTTTNTTTTTTTTTTTTTTTTTTTTTTTTTTTTTTTTTTTTTTTTTTTTTTTGTGTATAATTTCTCAATTACATTGTTCTGAATCGAAGCTAAATAGCTTGAAGCAAGTTGAAGGAATGCATGTAGGGATTGTTGTCATAATCTTGAGAAATCCAATACATTCAAAGGTGTAAAAAATCCATCAGAAATGAAACACAGAGGATTGTTGAAGTAACATTATAATTGAAGATGTTCTAGAAGGAATAAAGAGGGGATTTGAAAGCCATTCAATCCAAACAGGAAATCGAAGTCCTTATAGCTAGCTATATGTTTAGACGTAAATTGCTAGAAACTATAAGTTCCCAGATCCAACACACGCAGAATCCACGGAGAAGATAACCTACTCCGATCTACTGGCGAACCTTTCAACCTTGTCGTTCAAGTTCAGTCCGACCATTGCCTCGCCGAGCCCACAGCTCACTTCCGCCAGCACCTCTGGATCGTTGTAATGAGTAACGGCCTGGACAATCGCTCTGGCTCGTTTCGCTGGGTCGCCGCTCTTGAACACGCCGGACCCGACGAACACGCCGTCACAACCGAGCTGCATCATCAGCGCTGCATCGGCTGGCGTCGCTACACCACCGGCGGCAAATTGAACTACCGGGAGCCTCCCAAGCTGCTTCGTCTGCAGCACCAAATCGTACGGCGCAGCAAGCTTCTTGGCGAACGTGAAGACCTCATCGTCATCCATGTTCCTCAGCAGCCTGATATCCCCCATCACGGACCGCACGTGACGCACCGCCTCAATGATATTGCCGGTGCCGGCCTCGCCCTTGGTTCTGATCATCGCCGCACCTTCGCGAATGCGCCGCAGCGCCTCGCCAAGGTTACGGCAGCCGCAGACGAAGGGAATGCGGAAATTGTGCTTGTTGATGTGGTTTTCCTCATCGGCGAGAGTAAGCACCTCGCTCTCATCCACATAGTCGATACCAATGGCCTCCAGAATTTGTGCTTCAACGAAATGACCGATTCGAGCCTTCGCCATGACCGGAATCGTGACCGCTTGTTTGATTTCCTTAATGAGTTGAGGGTCGCTCATTCTGGCGACGCCGCCTTGGGCTCGGATGTCAGCGGGGACTCGTTCAAGGGCCATGACGGCGCAGGCTCCCGCCTCTTCAGCAACGCGAGCCTGCTCGGCGTTGACGACGTCCATAATGACGCCGCCGCGGAGCATTTGAGCCAATCCGACTTTCACGGAGAAGGGGGATTGCTTTGTCTCGGTGAGAGCTCCGTTCCCGTACACAGCTACAACTCCAGATCCTGCCATTTTCGCCGGGAAATGAAACTACAGGGAAACACTGAAGACCGGAATTAGAAAAATCCGCAGTAAGGCGGCGTATAAGAAAGCGAGAGAGAAGGGTGAGGATTCAGGAAATGACGAGAAACTGAGGCAGGGAAAGCTGCTTTAAGTAATGGTTGTTCTGGAATGATCTTATCGAGATGCGTAGACCATACGTCGAGCCTACGCGCGTGGAATATATGGAAATGGGGTCCACAGAGTCGTCGATATTTGAAAAAAAAGTATTCGAATCCAACGGTTGTAAACAAGAGATCGGGAGCTTTAGAGTGTAGGTGGCTTCCATGTTTATCAGCTGTAATTGAAGCCACGGATTTTGATGCATGAAGCCCTCGGTATTCGCACTCTGAATGTCCATACGTGGGAACCGATTGTTCACTTTTTCCTTCTTTTTTTTTTTTCTTTTATCTTTTTATTTTTCTTTAACTTCATAAATTCGATAATTTTATATCGAAAATATCTATAAAAGTAACTCCCGCTCAATGAATCATCCTTGAGAAAAGAAAAAAAATCTATTTTTTCATCCAATTATACAGGGTGTTTTGAATAAGTTTTCTTGTTTAAAAATAAAATGCCTATTTGAAAAATACTTTGCTTCACGGCCGAATCTAAACGTGTCTCTAAAACCCTATTGAAGTATCGGTATAATTAAATTGATCGATAGTTCACATAGAATGTATACCAAATATTTGAGGACCACAATTTTCATATATACTTCTCTAACTTTCAGTGTTTTGGTTGTTAAAGCCAAAATGGAATTACAACACATTTTTCATGCTTACTGGTTTTCTTTATTTTGGCTTTATTCTCATTCTTTAGCTTCTTCCTCCCTTTTGTTGTCTTTTTTTTTTTCTCTTCCAACTCAAAGAACAATGAGCAACAATTAAAAAAAAGAGAGAGAGAGAGAGAGAAATATATATATATATATATATATATATATATATATATATGAATTGATAACTACAAAATAATAATAATAATAATTAGTAAAATAATGAATATGTCAAAAGGGTAGATTATGATTAGATAAAAAATAATCTTATAATTTTATGGGTAAACAAAATTACATAGGTTAAATGAATATGGAACATTTTTCAATCACTATTTTTATAAGCCTTAAAAGTTAAAAGTTTAAATTCTTACTTAGCCTACATTTCAATTTTTCTTTAACTAGGTTTTTTTTTTATTTTTTTATTTTGCCAATTTAGGACCATTCTACTCCCCTATTTATTTATTTAAAAAAAAAAAAAAACTTGAGATGTTTACTTTTGAAATTAATAGTAACAATTTAAATAAAACTTTTTTTTTGGAAGATTTAAATATAAACACATAATTGATAATCAACTCCACAGAGATGTCAATAGGAATTTATTACTCATCAATATTATACTTTTTACACCTAAAAATAAAGAAACAAGATGAGATAGAACATACTTTTATTTTTTAAAAAAATCAAATAGCCATTAAAATTTTAACTTTGGCTTTAAGAATTTCTACTGTAAGTATCAAACTCGAGACAATAATTTTTTATTTAAAAGAATTTAGCTTTCTAAGAAGTAAGAATAAATAAAGTTTTTTCTTTTAAAAGTTAATTATTTATATACAATCAAGATACGACCAAATAAGTCTTTTTTCTTTAATTCTGAGGCGCATTTAGAATTCACTAAAAAAAAAATCTTTTAAACTTTAAAAAGGGAACAAAATAATGTCTAATTTTGTGTTAATTGGTCGACCAAGTAAAATAAGGTATTATATTAAATACAATTTGTACTAAAAAAAATAATTTAATTGAAGAAAAATGGAATTTATAATTGGAAATTGAATTATTAAAAAATGAATATTATTGGTTGGGATGAAGCAAATGCAGTGTGCCTCTCATTCCCAATCTTCCATCACCCTCTTTCCTCTCCACAATTAACAAAGCTTAAAAAATTTAGAAAAAAGAGTGTGAGAGAGAGAGAGAGAAAGAGAGAGAGAGAGACGTGTTCCACTTGGTTTTCACTCCATCCTTTTATTTTTGTATTTATTATTCTTTTTTAAGATTCTTTTCGTTTTGTTTCTTATTAAATTAAATTACAAATAAAATCTAAAAAATTTTAAGTCCAGATAAATAGGTCGGTCTTCTAACTTTAATATATGTGTCTAATATATTTAACAAAATTAATTTAATAAATAAAAAATTCTAAACAAAAATTAAAAGCTTAATAGTCTATTACAAATTAATAGAAAACTAAATAATTGTAATTTGTTGTTGATTTAAGTCCCAATGCCATCAATTACGTCAAACTCCCTTTGTTTCTACTTTGCTTTATTTATTTATTTAAGTTTAATTTTGATTGGTCGTACAATGGAGTCAAAATTATGAAATAAAATATGTATTGTTAATTCCTAGGGTTAAAAGTGGGGGAAAGATGCTATCCGAATACAATTTCTCTTCATATTATTTAATTGTTTTTTCAATATACCTTAAGATAAAACATTGGATCTAAATTAATCATTCACTAACCTCTTGAGACCAATTAATTAAACTTAATTCAGTGGATCAATACATAGCCTAAACCATTAATAAATATATCTCCAATAAAATATACCTAACTAGATAGGTTTAAACTTTAAACGTGTACTAATAAAATTTAAAAATTAAAAATTAAAATCAGCTTCACACGAATTAATAATTTATTTATTTAGCTTAGTTCTGATACACACAGACAAGCACACAAACAGCATATACCTATTTCATAAGGTTTATTTATTTAATTAGAAAAGGAAAAGAAAGGAAAAACTAAATCTCAAATGCTACACGTGATGGGCTACTTCGATCGATAAAGAAGCCCATTAATCTGTAGGAGTGGGCTGAGCCCATTACTGTGTTGGATCCCAAAAGTAGCAGTCAAGGACTTTTATTCCTTTTAGGCCTGCATTTACACGTCATCATTTCAACACTGAGTTAGTTTTAAAATATATATTTAAAATGGGATAGATTTTCAATTAATTAATTGAGTTTCAAATTTAAAATTTCTAATTATATTTATTTAGTACATAAATAAACTTTCAGTTTTTAATTTAATAAATCTATAATATATTTATACTTATTTCTTATTTTAATTAAAAATAAATCTATTAGATATAAATTTTAGATTTTGATCAATTAAATATTATTATTTTAACTATTTCATATAAAATTTTGTTATTTTTATTACTCTAACTAAATTCCAAGGAGTATTTATTATTTTTATTATTTATAAATGATAAAAAAAAAAAATCGAATGAAAATTCCAACCTTAATCCATATGCCTACGTTTGCAAGGGAGATGTGAGAGATCCATTCCCATTCACACAACTGAGAGTCAATACATGCAAAAACATTTAATCGTGGACTAAAATAAATGAAAATAATAATAATAATAATAATAATAATCCACTTCGTATGATGTAAACGAAGAATCGATTACCATTGCCTTGCAGAGCTGGATGGCTTAGTGGGACTACCAAATTCAATAGGCAATTCTTTCCAGTGCAAACTTGGTTCCCAGTCTGCCTCTTCCAAAACCTTACAAATTTCCTCTGCAACTATCTGGCTCCCTTCTGCTGTGAAATGAATGCCATCCCTGAAATAACCACAAACAACTCATTCAATCCATTCAAAAAGGATCAAAGATGATCCTCCTCTGTGAACTATAACTACTAACGTGAAGCAAGAAGTGAGCCAGTCATCTCTCTTTTGAATTGCACTCCACACATCTATGCATTTCACGTCAATCTTCTTGCAAAGTTCTTTACAAGCCTCCGCGTACTTACGACATGATTCCAGTGTTCGACATTTCGCGTGTTCCTCGCTGGATCAATCAGGACATAAAATGAGGCATTGGGGTTTAAAAAGCGAGCATGTTCATAACAAAATATGCATATATCAATATGAGCACACCTCAGTTTTTCTTTAATTAGAGCATAGCTCACGGGCGGAGCTGTGAGGAAGATGACTCGGGTTTTCTCCGAGAGGCTCTGACAAATGTTTTAGACGAATAAGCAGAGAAATATTTTGATTGATGCAAAGATTAAGAGTATATTAACAGTTCACCTTGAGATGAATGCCTATCTTCTTCATGTTCTCTACGTATTCAGGAAGTGGCACCAAAGTCTTCTGGGAAGAAGGGAAAGGAAGCACTGCATCATTGCCACCAAAGTAGACTATCACCAATGAAGGTTGAATGGCACTGTCCTGAGAGGCAACATATCTTTAAAACATTAGCTTCAAAATATCCACCCACTTGAACAAAAACATGATATGAAACATGTTTTTATTAAGAATGTTCATCTAAAAACACATCGACAAGAGCTTATGAGTTTACGGTTTGATTTAACATGGTATCGGAGCAGAAAGACCGACCCAAAACACAATTAATACCAACAGTCGCTAGCAGAATCTGGTGCTAATTTTTAAAGCCATGAAGGGGTTTCATGCTGTCTTCACAGAACCACACTATTCATTGGTAAACATGAACTACTACTGTTCAAGAAGACTGTCAGAAATAGCAAATTTTGGTTTCAAGACATTTTGCAAAAGGCCAATTCAATTATCTTACTGTTTTTTCAATCCTTGAACTAGAGTTTCAGCAACACAGCAATGTACCTTTGGAAAGACATGATGCAAAACCTGTAGAGCCTGCCTAGAATTCCAACCACTATAGCCGCGTAGCAAGATATCTGCCTGTGGAGTTGCAGAGGAACTTAATCAGGATACCAACAAAGGTATGAGATCTACAAATTGTGCTCTCAGTACGGATCAAAATCTCATCAAACGAACGAAGGAAATAGTTAGAAATCCGCAAGAACTTTCCAAACCATTGAAGGGAAGCCAACGGTGAGAACATGCCAAGGAAAGTCATCACGCATGTTTTAGAATAAAAATCAATCACAGTCCATTTTGAACCTGAAATTTTTAAATAGTAGCCATTCTGGTCTATTGTTCGCAAAAATTTATCCACAACATGACCACAAGCATGCCACATTTCAAGAGATTCGTTCAGGAGGTCAATATGCCATTTTCGATAATTAAACTTCATTCGAACAAAAAGAAACCAGCAAGAATAAACATAGAAACATGAAACGAAGCGGAAACAAGAAAGAACCAGAAATCTCCAGAGAGACTAAGAACATATACCCTGCGGGAGTACAAATCGGCAATAATAGAACCCCATCCGCCATTGCCAAAGCTCAATTGAACTATGGAAGAACCAAATAGCACAAAAAGAGGTCTCGCAGGCCCAACCATTTTCGCTAATCCAGGCCAGACTGAAGCAAACGACGACTACAAATTAAGCATAAAGCAAAACGAACTGTAATTCTATACAGAACTATAGGCCTGATTAAAGAGATTGCAGAGCAGAGAAATCGAACCACGTCCAATTATTGATCTGACTCCGGAGTACGACTGTCTCTACCGCTGCAGAAGAACAGCCTCTCACAATTTAATTTTCCGTCTCATGGACCTTATTAGACAAATCCCCCACCCATTTTATAGGGAAAATTACTGATCTAACCGCCCATTATAAGAAATTTTTGGAGGGTTAAGAAAAATATGTAGTGTTATCTTCTTAAAAAAAAAAAACAATTATCACTTTTTAAAATTTTAGTAATTAACAGACAGGAATATTAACATTTATATACTAATTTATAATTTAGCCAGATTTCAAATACTTTTTTATCCTTATTCGTGATTTCAAATTTTAAACATTTACTTATAAGGTTTGACTTAAAAAAAAAAAAAAAAAAAAAAACATAAAATAATTTTAGATTGTAAAATTATATTAAATACCAAAAACAATTACATTTTAAAAGTTTAAGAAAAGTGTGGGAATGCCGACCACTTGCGAAAAAGAACATCAATTCCTGAAAAACATGTTGTTTCCTTTTAAATCGTAGGAAATTTGTGACCTTATATTCCCAAAACAAAAACAAAAACAAAACCATCAACTATTCTAAAAAAGTAACGCCTATCAAATCAACCATATTATTTATTTTATTATTTCATTAATTCAGACATTTTATTTATCAGTTTTTATGTTAAATGGAATATAAACTTTAAAATTTATTTATCGATTTAATTGTTCGTATATCAAATAGATAGATTCAAATTACGAAGTCTTAGTACTAAATTTGTATGCATTAGTTTCAGCGGCGAGCGAGTGAAACATGGTTGAGATTCAAGGAATCAAGAGAAAGGAACTGCATATTGCATGGGACACAGACAACAAGTGTTTGGATGTCTGGATCTCGGTTCCAGTGCAATGGAAGTGGAAGACCAAATTCTTTTACTTTGTTCATGTTCTGATTTCTTTCCTTTTAGTTAATTTTTTTTTATATATTAAACTTGCCTCCTTATTATTATTATTATTTGGGCCGAGATAGAAGTAAAACTGGGCCAGGGGAATAGAAATATTGGGCCGAAGCCCAACAAGCTCCCGAACGTACGCCGTCATGAAAAATATCTGGCTGCAACTTGGGACCCACCTGTCAGCTGTCGATTTCCGATTGGGATATTTAGGCTTTGTTAACAGGTATCTGCTTCTATTCGTTTGGTCTATTGGTGTTTCATCATTTCCGTGTCTCTGTTTAGTGGTTACTCTGGCTTTCCTACCTATCTCCCTGCCTCGTAAGCTCTACAGAATCGGTTTCGTTCAGGATGCGGGAAGAAAAGAAGCCAGGAATTGTGTGGCGGAATATTGGACACCTTGAAGCTTCTGATCATCGAAGCTTCAGCACTGCCGACAGTCAACCACTGTGGAATAGCAACAAGCGATTTGGCGCCAGTGGTGGTAGTGATAGTGATGGCAATGGTAGTAGCTTTACATTTGCCTGCATTACTGTTGTGGAAAAGAGAAACCGGAAGGAGTTCGCGCCGACGCCGGCTCAGCTGCTCAAGCATCCATTGTCAGTTCTAGCCTTGGTGCACAGAGAAGCAACGCTCTTCGTCGCTGCCGCCGTATCGGGGGCGGTCGCTAAGACTGCGACAGCTCCTCTAGACAGAATCAAGCTTCTTATGCAGGTTATAGCCTCGCTGTTCGTCTCCAGCAACTTCGCTTTTTCGTCAATTGAATTGGATTCATATCGCAAAGTAGCATTTCTTTAGCTATGTTTTACGGCAACAGTCTCCATTTTATTTGTAGAATTTTAACGCGGAAATCTCTTAGATAACCTATATTGTACGGCCACTGCTATTTTAGTTTTCGGTCCTCTTGTAGGCATCTATAAGTTCATTTTAGGATGAATGCATAGAAATTCGGATCTCCTTACGTGTTTTAAGCATACACTGTATTAAGAGAGGTCTCGCTAATTCATCTAACTTGTTTTGTACTCTGAATTCGCTTGTTTGCAGACTCATGGAGCAAGAATTGCGCAAGAAGGAGCTAAGAAGTCGATTGGTTTTATCGAGGTATGATAAGAAGCACCTTAATTGGCACTTCAACGTCTATTTATTTATTTATTTGCGTTGATGATTCTTGGTGCCACATCAATATGTCAAGGTGTTAGCAAATTGTTTTTGTATATTTTTAACATCTTCAATGTTTCTTAGCTACTCTCCATTGAAGATAGACAGATTAGAGGCGTCATTTAATTGCTAAATCTTCATGGTTTTTAACGTATTAGTATCAACTCTAAAGGACACTGCTATCTGTGTTGATTGGTGGTTTGCATGGACGAATTGCAGGCAGTGGCAACCATAATAAAGGTGGAAGGAGTTAGAGGACTTTGGAAAGGCAACTTTCCTCAGGTTGTTGCTTTCAGTTGATTTTTTTATTAATATTATTCTTTTAGTGTTGTCGGTGAGTTTTATGAGCTCTAGAACAATTATACCTATGGACATTATTAATGTCCAAACATAATCTTGCTTTCCTGATGTATTGCTGATTTGTTAGTTTAACATTCTGAAACGCAATACCTGGTTATGGTTTGCCTTCTACGTTCCAGGTTATACGCATCATACCATATAGTGCTATCCAACTCTTTGCGTATGAAAACTTTAAGGTAAAGTTTGTATCTCAAGATGAATCTTAAACAGAAATCAAATATGGTGAAACTCTGTCATATATACCAGAATTTATAGAACTTTTTCAGGGGAGAAGATGACAAACTTTCTGTGATTGGAAGACTTGCTGCTGGTGCTTGTGCTGGCATGACATCCACCTTCGTAAGCATGACATATCTTATTCGTTAATTTTTCGTTTTCATTGTTTTATTTTTCAAGGCTGCAACTTCCTAACTCTTCTTCAATTGAATATCTTCCTTGGAAGATTTTCAGATTAAAAAGAAGAAGAGGAAATAAATCAGATTATGACTTTTCAATTTTGGCTTCCTGACTGGCCTTTCTTGTGTGCATTATTAATCAATCTTATCTTCATAGATGACATATCCATTAGATGTTTTGAGGTTACGCATGGCAGTTGACCCTGGGTTTCGAACGGCATCTGAGGTTGCTCGACTTGCCCTTCTATATATATATAGAAATTTTTCATATGTAAATTATGGATAATTTTTGGTTTCTAGATAGCCTTGAGTATGCTACGAGAGGAAGGCATTACATCCTACTACAGTGGTCTTGGACCATCCCTTTTTGGCATAGCTCCTTACATTGCCGTGAACTTTTGCATTTTTGACTTGTAGGTGCTCATTGGTTCTTTCTTGTATTACCTTCAATGAAAATAAGATCTTGCTCTTTAATGATATGTTTTGTGTACAACAGGGTAAAAAAATCTTTTCCAGAAGAAACTCAAAGGAGAACTCAAACATCTTTATTCACAGCCTTGCTTTCAGCATCCCTAGCTACACTCATGTGCTATCCTTTGGATACTGTGAGAAGACAGATGCAAATGAAGGGTACACCTTACAACACAGTTTTCGATGCTTTTGCAGGTGATTTAGTATTAGTTCCTTTTAAGTTTGAAGTAAAATTACATATCTTCTTTGGGCTTTCCCTTTCGAGCTTCCCCTTTCGAGCTTTCCCTCCAGACTTTAAAATGCGTCTACTAGGGGAAGGTTTCCACACCCTTTATGAAGGGTATTTTGTTCTCCTCTCCAACCCAGGTGGGACATCACAATCCACCCCCTTTAGGGCTCAGCGTCCTTACTGGCACTCGTTCTTTTCTCCAATTAATGTGGGACTGCCATCAAATCTACCCCCTTCGGGGCCCAGCGTCCTTACTGGCATACCACCTTGTATCTATCCCCTTCGGGGAACAACCTACTCGCTGGCACATGGTCCGATGTCTGGCTCTGATACAATTTGTAACGACCTAAATCCACCGCTAATAGATATTGTCTTATTTGGGCTTTTCCTTTCGAGCTTCCCTTCAAGGCTTTAAAACGTGTCTGTTAGGGGAAGGTTTCCACACCCTTATAAAGGGTGTTTTGTTCTCCTATCTGACCAACGTGGAACATCGCTGTACATGATAACAATAATTATTATTAGGAGTGAAATCTGGGAATGCTTGGAGACTAAAACGCTCTGACATACAAAATTTATGTGCTTGTTCAATGTCTAAATTTTCTTGTTGAGTTGTAGCTTAGGAATCATTCCCTCAATCTGAATTGATGTTTGATGCAGGTATATGGGATGGAGATGGATTTATTGGATTTTACAGGGGTTTACTGCCCAACTTCCTGAAGAATTTACCTAGCAGCAGGTTTATTTCATATCCGAATAACCCAGAGAATTTCCCTTTATTTTTTCTTTTTTATTTATTATTTATTTTTTTGTTGTTGTTGAATATTTTAACTAACCTTAAAATTCTCGGCACTCTTTCTTTCATGAAATTGTTTCCACTCTTGTTCTTGGGTTACCTCCCTTCCTTTCTTTTACTGCAGCATCAAGCTTACCACATATGACTTTGTCAAGCGGCTTGTTGAGACCAGTGAAAATGAGTACCAGAGAATCATCAAGGAAAATCGTGAAAAGCATAATCAGAAGTTCAGTGATTAAATTTTCCTGAATATCTGTTCTTAGCGTATGGCTCTTCGCCATCCTTACCCATCAAGTTTTTGTTGCGGTTCAGTGGAAAGCCAGAGCTAGGTATGGTTTTTGGGTTTTGTAATTGCTAAAATAGAGATGTTGTATCATAGTTCAACCATTGCAGAGTGGGACCTTTGGAATGACAACCCTTTGGATACCAAACAAAAGCATGCACCTGCTAGAAAAGAATTCAGGTTTTTGTTAGGATACCAATTACATGGAACAAAAATATAACTGGATTGAAACATCAAAAGAGAGATTACAATATGAATAGGAGAGAGCTATCTCTCTCCCATGATCTATCTATTTTGGATCGTATTTTGGATCGTTAGGAGAAGAGCCTCGCATCAGCTAACTAAGGAGTTGATCATGGATTTATAAGTAACGAACACATCTTCATTGGTATAAGACCTCTTAGAAAAACCAAAAGCAAAGCCACGAGAGTTTATGTTCAAAATAGGACAGAGTTTCCAAAGTGATGCCTACTGCCCACTCAACATTAAATCCCCTTTCTTTTTAATCACCCCACCATAATAATGTTCCTAATATAACCCTTGCTATCCTTTAAACTTTCTAGCTCCTTATGGCAGAATAGATTTTGGACTTTAAAAGTGTCCAACAAGCTTTTGAATCTTTTATTTTATGTTTAACATGGAAACTTTCAATTATACGTATGAGATCTGGTAGAGAATAGTTAACCCAGGAGTTCCTCCAAATCTCTTCTAGCTGACTCTTGTTATTTTGGTATTAAACTTTGTATACCCGATTGCTTGGTTTTTCTATGACACCTATGCACAGTGGTTGCTTTTGAAACTTGAAGAACAATAATTGTTGTGATCGTAAAATGAAAGCAAAGCTGCCGTAGATTCTGCTAGATTGGATCACTTATTTTTTTCTTTGTTGTTGAGAATCCATATTTAACGTGTGCTTGCTGTTTTACCTTTTTCTAATCTGTATGAAGCAATGATTGGTGGAGGCTACTGAAGGCCGGACCCTCAATAATTTTACTTCTCATTCATTGATCTTCACATACAAGTGAGGTCTACCATTTTGTTGGGCAGAATCTCTGAAAATGTAGGCGATTTTACTGGTGTTTACTTACCATTTAATTTATTTTGGTTTGAAACATTTTGAAAATATTCTTGTAACTTTTAGCACCAAGTTTAGGGTTTTCGTCCTAATTTTTTATTATGGTATGATAAAACGATATAATCTTTGATTTATTTCTTGTCTTAGTTTGATTTTTCTTTTTTAACATTAAACTGTTTACTTGTTTTAGTCTATTTTTGTAAATGTTTGTAAATCTAATCCTAGGTTTTGAAAATTTTAAAAATTTAGATTTTATTTTGATGATTATTTAGTTTTTGAAAATAGTGATTATTTTTTTCACTTTTTTTTTTTACATTGCGTTCATCTTTCCTAGTTTATATTTGAATTATTAGTTGAATTCAAAAGGCAAAAACAAGTGTTTTAAAACTTTTTTTTTTCTAATTTTCAAAACTTTACATGAATTTTGAAATCATCGTTAGAAAGTTCTGGCCAAACAAAGAAATTCTATTTATAGGCTTATTTTTGAAAAAAAAATCTAATTAGTTAAAACAAAAAATCTTTTTTTTTTTTAATTCTGAAAAAAAAAAACCCATTTTGGTGGTTAGAACTTTCAAAATATATATTCTAACGTTCTTTTTACAATAAGAATAACTATTTTGTTGTTACGTATCTATACTGTATTAAAAATAATTAAAAAAAGTTTTAAGAAATTCTGAGTCAAACTGCAATCACCCATGTCACGCATGAAAATGTAAAATATTAGTAGATTTTACATTCACCTTATTAAATAAATATTATTTTATTTCATGAATTAAATAATTATTTTATCATTGGTAGTATACACGAAATTCTAGGAAATTTCTACAAGATATAACAAATAAATTATGTATAATAAAGCCATTAAAATGTGGGGCCCGCTCCACATACGGATGAGAATCAGTCATGCATGCTTGCCGCGTTTCATTGAAGGCGGCGACAAATATATCAGACCGTACACGTGTGAGGAATTGACGAAAGGCCATCAATCAATTTACACACAGCTTTTACTTTTATTATTATCGTCACACTGCAAGTGACGCAACTCCGCCACTGCTGCCCTAAGCAGGTGACAGGTCAGCGGAATCATGGCCCATAAGATATAACGAAGTCCAATGAGATTTGCAAGTTGAATGACTGTGACGGTACAGGGTGAGAATAGTAGGAGAGTGTGTAGGAATTTGGAGGCAAGTACGAGGGTATTTTGGTAAATTTAAGTATCTGGAATCTACCTGCTTCTTCGTGACTATTAAAGCAACTGAGGTGGTTCTGTTACGTGTTCGCTAAGCGAAAGCCAAGGCAGTCCCACTCCCCTTCTCCACGGCTGTTTCACTTCTCGAATTGGCAAATTTACTTTGGAAACCTTCTGGCGAAGAACTACACAGAAAGGGGATTTCCCAATTTCATAGGTTGGATTTCTCTCGGAGGTGTGCTGTTGAAGTCGAACGAGGCGTAAAGGAAATTTCGCTTGCAGATGGCAGAGGTAATTTTGTATTTTTGGCTGTGTTTGGGTTTCGTTTTTGTGTTCTTTTTGGTTTCTTCTGAATTGAATGGAGATTTATAGATTGATTTGAATTAGATAAGGTAGGAGTTGTCGCTGCTGATACTGGAAGTGGTGGATGGGAGTTTGAGTGTGGAAATCAAGTCAAAATGAGGAAATCTTTCAAGGATTCCCTTAAGGCACTCGAGGCTGATATTCAGTTCGCCAATACCTTGTAATCTCTCCATATGCTATTCCTTATTGTTTGATATTTTGTAATCCGTTTCTTGACAATCACTCTGGAGTCTGTCAGAACTGCTATTGCAATGTTCGCGTTTCTCACTGTCTGGAAATTATCCACTATGTTTGATTGATTTCTGTGATCGAAACTGCATCGAGTTTCAATAATTCGTATCTCAAGATCCAGGTTTTCTCCATGCCTAGATTAGATGCCACTCGTGTTGGATTCATTGCGTTAGAATTTGAAGTTCAGGAAAGTTGTTCTGAATATACAGTTCAATCGATATGCCGTCTAAGAGAGTTGCAAGTCTTATATTTTGCTCCTCAATATCTGTAAATTCTCTCATCTCTATGTGGATTAGAAATTGATCGCTTCGATCTTATTTCTTGAATTGTTCTGCTCCCGTACATGTATGTTGTTTCCTGCTCTAAGATTAATGGAATTGTTTATTTTAGATTCATTAATAAATGTTATGCACTTGATTTTCTGAATGTTAATTTTAATGGACATTTTCTTCCTTTTGCGTGGGTTATCTTGTATGTCTAGGTGGTTTTGTAAACTGTAGCATTGTCCTGCTAGTAGTTTTGTAAGTTATCTCGACTTCTCAGGATTGTGTGACTGCTAGTAGTCTGTAAGGTTTCTTTCAAATTTTGAGATTTTGTTACTTTTAGTGCACAATAGTTCCATCTGAGGTTCATTTAATTCGTAAGCATTGAAAAAAAGAACACTCAATTCTGAACAGGGCTTCTGATTATCCCAAGGAATACGGTGGAGCATGCCTTCAAATGAGATTATCATACAGTCCGGCTGCGCAGTTCTTTCTCTTCTTCGTGCAATGGACTGATTGCCACCTTGCTGGCGCTTTGGGTCTGCTCAGAATTCTGATATACAAGGTACGGCAACCTGCATGACAAAAATTTGACACTCATACCTCCTACATTGTCCGAGTGTGGTGATTGAAGTTGGTTCAAATTGATCACTCCTCAAAGATAAAAATCTTCAGAAGTAGCTTATCTTGTCAAGCTTGTGAATGTGCTAAATTTGTTTCAGGCATATGAAGATGGGAAGACTACCATGTCTATTCAGGAAAGAAAGGCTAGTCTCAAGGAGTTCTATGGTAAGTGGCTTAGAAGATAAAAGCTGGCCTTTCTTCAAATTGAGGTGTATTAAAATTTGTCTGTCTTGCGAATCCTATTTTTTAGTCTTGCAAATGCAGGGGTGATATTTCCTTCTCTGGTGCTACTTCAAAGAGGAACTAATGACATAGAAGATAGACAACATAGAGAAGCTTATGCGGCCAAATACAAAAGAAAAGATCAGTTGGACAAAGGAAAGATCTCTGAAATAGACTTGGAAAGAGAGGAAGAATGTGGTATTTGCATGGAGCTAAACAGCAAGGTTGTGTTGCCTACGTGCTGTCATTCAATGTGCATGAAGTGTTACAGGAGTTGGTAAGCTTTCTGCTGTTTCTTATGTGCTATCAGCTACTAACTATTTGGAGCTGATTTTTGCAACTTGTTATGTTACCTTTGTTTCAGGCGCGCTCGGTCTCAATCATGCCCCTTCTGCCGTGACAGTCTCAGGAGAGTCAACTCGGGAGATCTTTGGATCTGTACGAGTAGCACCGAAATTGTGGACTTGCCCTTCATCTCTAGTGAAAATTTGAAGAGGCTGTTTATGTTCATTGATAAGTTGCCTCTTATTGTCCCAGATCCAAAACTCATCTCTTATTATCTCAATCACTATTAGACATTCCAGGCTTGGACGACCGGAAGTAATTTGTATATAAAAAAAAAAAAACCCATTACATATGTTGTTGTGCATAATTCTTATCAATTCTATAATTTGATAGACTTGAAGCCTTTTGTGGTAGCTTCCAATTTTATGCATTTTTTAACCAATATGGCAGAAGCTATGTCGTTGAAGAAACTGACGATCATATATCGTTAAATGCACAGGAGTTCGGCACCCCCACGTGTAGGAGCAATGAAACAGGGTTTTCAATTTGGTTCTGTTCTGTTCTGTTTGTTCACAACTCACCAAACTACAATGGTTGAGAATTTGGAGTTGGATTTTCACTTTCCTTGCAGGTTCTGATCAAATTCAGAAGCGTTCCACAGCAAGAATGTGCCGCACTAGGACGCCATAACTTTTTTGTTATCACATTCAAATTTACATTATTAAAAATTAATTTAATATTTGATTTCATATTTTTTTCAGGCATGTCAATAAAAAATTCATCTATAAAAAGACTGCATCTAGCAATTGTAAATGGGCCTGGTTTTATTTCCATTGGACCGGTATGGATAACCGTTCAGGCCCATATCCGATTATGGCGGGGGTTTTTTATTTTTATTTTCCCGGAGAATTGGCGGCAATTTCGAAGGTTAATCGACGGGATGTGTTCACTCTCATTTCTCACTTCCAATACCAGTGATAGATTTGAATCTTTTCACAAGACGATCTCCAACTTCAGGTGTATGGGAAATGTACAGGATCAAAGTCTTCGATATGATCGCTGCTCATTTTCCGCGAGATTTTCATCGCAAAATCGCAGCTCTAGGTTACGTCGGCTACAACACAAGTCGGAGTTATCGGTTTGTTGCCTAATCCCTATCAAATAAAATTGATTGGTTCTCAATGCCTTATTTTCTACCTTATGGTGAACTAATCTATCTATATCTAGTGTTTGAGCAAAGTTTTGGAGCTTAGGCGTGAATGTGTGGATTATTTCTGTATTTTGTGTGTTTGCTTACAGTGTTTCGCTCTATTGCTCGTTCCTTGAATTGAATCCTTTAGATTTCAATTAGTATCTGGACTTCGTATTTCCTTGCGATGATTTTCTATGATCTCCAACACTGATACTTCTCCAAGTCAATTCACGAGTTCTATATAGAAGTGCCACAGTTCGTTTACTGCTGCCACTGAATTTCCGGATTTAGGAATCAAATCTGTGGCTAAATATGGAAGCGAGTTACTAGTTCCTTCTTGTTTCAGGGAAAATGTTAGTCAGGTCTTCATTGAGATTTCTCTACTCTTCTGTTCTACATTTCCTTGTTTTCAATTTTTGGAGTCAGACTAAGTAAGGAATATAAGAAATATATCTCCACTGTTATAAGCCTTTTGGAGAAACCCAAAGCATGAGAACTTAGGCTTAAAGTGGATAATATCTTACTATTGTGAAGGATCGTAGTTTCTAACGTGGTATCAGAGTCATGCCCTTAACTTAGTCATGTCAATAAAATCCTCAAATGTCAAATAAAGAAGTTGTGAGTCTCGAAGGTATAGTCAGAAGCAACTCAAGTGTCGAACAAATGGTGTTCTTTGTTCGAGGACTCTAGAGAAGGAGTCGAACCTCAATTAAGGGGAGACTGTTTGATGACTCCATAGGCCTCGTGAAAGGCTTTATAGTGTACTTTGTTCGAGGGGAGGATTGTTGAGGATGCTTGGGAGAGAGTCCCCACATTCACTAATCTAGGGATACATCTCCATTGGTACGAGATTTTTTGGGAAAACCCAAAACAAAACCATGAGAATTTATGCTCAAAGTGGACAATATCATACCATTGTGGAGGGTCATAATCTCTAACCGAAGCTGATTAATCACCATTTGCTGGTCCTTACTTTTCCGTCCATGCTAGAATATTCTCTGATAAATAGTAATCCTGTCACCAAATTTTGAATAGTGTGGCGTTGGAAATTGTTGCCGTTGGGGTCGTTTTCATATAATTTCATCAACTGCATGCTAGTAAGAAAAGTGAGCCCTCTGTTACCGATAGGTCTCTTCTTCTGTAACCAAGTAGGCAGTAAAATATAGTGGAGATTTGATCACCAAGGACCATCACATAATGTGTGTGCTTCTCCCCATCTTTCTACAATTACTCATATTTTGATGAATGGTCTCACCCAGAAACGAGGATGTGATATTGGCGTTAAAAGTTCTTACTAGGATGAGTACAGTTGCAACTTCAAGTGACCGACTTGTTTTGGTAGATCGAGTTCAAAATGATTGCTTACTTCTGTTTTTGAAATTATTTTAAGATTTTGATCGTACAACCATGTGTGATATATTGACAAAATTATTTGTGGTCACTAATCACATTACATGATTATAAATAATATAACAAAAAGGTATGTAAAAGTTATCTAGGAATCATGTTAGGTTAAATAACATTTTTAGTTTTTAGATTATCATAAAGCAATTTAGTCAATAAACTTTGTTTGTGATTTAGTTCTTATATTTCAATATTAGGACAATTTATTTTTTAAGTTTAATATGTAATAATTTAGTCTCTCTACCTCAAAATTTATAACAATTTAGTTTGTATGGTAATATATATTGGTAAGATTAATCAATTTTTTTTTTACATATGCTAATCAATAATGTGATTAAGGATTAAGTGTGTTAATAACCTACAAACATTAAGTTATTACGCAATAAAAAAAGACACTTTATTATGATGAGATTTTTTTTTGTGATTAAATTATTACAAATTAAAAATACATGCATAAATTGTTATAGGAAGTTCAAAAATTAGATTTTAACGAACTAAACTTTAAGATTAAATTATTACCTAAAACTATTTTTTTTCCGTGCAGATTTCTTGCATCTGTTATTTGAGAAGTCGCAGGAATCCGCGGCCCATTAATTTGCAAAACAGGTGATGTTATGTAAATTGATCTTTGATTGTATGCTTCAAGCGTTAGGTGTAGTTGTATGTAGATGATATCAAACCCCTCCGGAATATTATTAGGATTATTATTATTATTTCAAATGAAGTGCTGATGGGGTAAGTTGGAATTTAGGATTTCTTGTTCAAGATGTGTTAAAACTTTGATCAACAATAAGTATAGATATATCTTTTGAAGGAAAAAAGAAAATAGGAAAAAAAGAAAAAAAGGTAACGGGTAAATTGTTTTAATTAAAAATAAATAAATAAAGTCAAGTAACGACTTTCGTGTATTTTATTGTTTCATTCGTTCATTTGTTTATTGGTTGGTAATAACTTTTGACCATGTTGAAGGGTTCTTTTTTCTTTGTCAATAATGTTAGCGTAATGTGATCATTGTCCAACCTCTTTCTTATTGCTATTTAGTTTGTCTTTTTGGCCATTTGTTTATTTCTGTTTTTTACTTGATCTTTTTGTGAGTCAATAAAGAAAAAGATAAATAAATAAAGGTAAAATTTGTGGACATGAAAATGTGAAATGAAATATAGTAAGAGAACACTTTTATTTTAATATATATAAAATATATACTCAACCATGTGTAAGTTAGAACTTTTAACTATTATAAAAGATAATTTTGAATTTAAGTAGGAAGTTATATTTGGACGAGTAATCTTACCTACGGATTCCATAATAAATAATTTTCTATTCTTACTCATTATCTATGGATCCCATAATAAATAATTTTCTATTTTATAAAACATGATGTGTGGCATATTATTATTATGAAATGTGAACATTTGACATACTTTCATATTTACGTTTACTCCGCTCAATCTCTCTTATATTTTGAAAGATATCGAATAGGCAGTGTATTCAGAATTGGGAGACTTTTATTCTTAACATGTCTCAAATATTATTGCTATTTCAAAAATAATAGTAATGTATGTGTATAAAGTCAAGCCTGCTCCTAGGAAATAAAGCTGTTTTATTCCTTTAATAATTCATATGGAAAATATAATATAATTTGCTGTCGGACAAGCCCTCTCCTAACCAATAAATTATTGACGGAAAATTCTGAAGTCTTCTCTTTCTCTAGCCTTTTATCTCATGGAACAGCAGGTTAGCGTTCGCAGGTGGTTGGCAGCGATTTTAATTGGCGAAGTATGTCACAATGGTATGCTGTTTGTTTTTCCGCACAGATTTTTTTATTGCATTTCTTGGGTGGGAATTTTTTTTATTTTATTATTTTTTATTATTGCGATTACATGTGAACTTAAATGATTCTAGTCTACAATATTTCCAAATCAATTAAGTTGGGCAAACTTTTCTTTGAGATGATTAGATTGTTCTTTTTTTTCTTACGAATAATAAGCTAAAATAATCACCAAGGGCGATCAACTGAAACTCAAAAAATTGAGGTAACTGATTGAAATCAGTTGGACTGACTTTGGTCGATTCATTTTGGTTCTATATATATATTACATTACATACTTTTATTTTATAAAATTAATGCAAACCAGGTTCTATATATATATATATATATTACATTACATTACATACTTTTATTTTATGAAATTAATGCAAACCAGGTAACATTTCTTGGGATTGTAATCCATGGTTATATTTAGTAATAAAATATATCAGTTTTCTAATTAAAAAAGTAATTGATTGGATAGTTTTACAAAGAATTATCGACACAAAGAAAATAGGAAACTAGGCATTGTGTTTCATTATTTTCTAAAAAAATTAATAACTATTTCTTTTTCTAACTTCATTGAAATGGGTTACATTTTAAAATTAATATACAAAATAGATAAGCCAAAACACAACAGTAGCATCTTATTTGAACAGACAAGGGTAGTAATGACATTTCACAAATAATTATTATTATTTTTCTCTTGAATTTTTAATCCCCAGAAAAAGCTGTTGTGAATTGTGATTCAATTCCGACGTCATGGGAATTGTAGAATGACGTAGGAGTTGAAGATGCAAGGGTAGTAATGACATTTCCTATGAGGCTCACCCAGCGCCTGAATTCTAGAAGCACAGTCGGCCTTAGAACTTTGAACTGATGTCAAATTACTGTATGAATTTCTTTCTCTGACCAAAAAAAAAAAAGCAAGCTTCAAATTGCGTCGGCCTTGGAAGTTAAAAATGATGTCAAAAATACAGTATGAACTTCTTGCTCTGACCAGAAAAAAGTAAACTGATAAAAGTGTTTTGACACCAGAAGGATTCTATGGTCACCCTGCTTCCGATTTTAGTTTATCGTGATATATTAACCAACCCAACGACACTTTCTTAAAAAATCCAACTTTTTGGTTCCTTAAAACACCTCTCCCTTTGAACCTTTTTTTTTCTTGAATCCTTGGATTAACACACCCAAGAAAACCCAAGAAATTGAAATTTGGCACGATCAACATATGTTTCCATTCTATTAGACAGCTCTGTCTTTTCTGTAAATCATTCAACTTTTTTGATCATTTAGTCACTCCATTTCATCTCAATCTCTTCTAAATTTGAGCAATCGCCATCTCCGTTGGCATTTCTTCCACACCTTTTCTTGGGCGCCCCTTTGGGTCTCCATTACCATCTAGCCTTTTTAGGTGCCGACGCTCAGCTCATTTTGGCTCATCTCTGTGACGATTCTCCTAATTGTTGCAAGGGGTTTAGAAATCTTTCTTGAATTTTGATGTTTTTTGATCCATTGAGTTGTGTGGTACAACTTAAAAGTGGTCTGTGTGTAGATGAGTGACACTGTCTGTTGCAACGATGGCTTCCTGTTGCTTTGCAATCCTGAATTGCTGTAAAGGAAATAGCAGCTCAGAAGAACCGGCAGAAGGTGAGAATCAGGTAACTTTGTTTTTCTTTTGTTGATTCTAGGTTAATTTTATATATTCTATAATTTTTAAAATAGGTTTCCATAAATTCTGATTGTTTGGTGAGGCGAAAAGGTTTTTTATTTTTTTATTTTTTTATTTTTTATATAAGTAATTACTTCGACTCTTTGGATTTGAAATTGAAATGATTTTCTGTGTTGTACTTGGTTAGGGATTGCTGTTAACAACAATGTACGCATCTTTTCTTATAATTCACTGAGGTCAGCCACTAGTAATTTTCATCCATCAAGCAGAATAGGTGCTGGAGGTTATGGAGTTGTCTACAAAGTGAGACAAATGACAATCTAATTTTTATGGTTCTTTCCTGTAATTTGTTCCCTCTAGTTACCTTTCCCATATCAATTCTGATACATTTTGAATCTGTCATTGATTTGCGAGGATAGGGAGTTTTGAGGGATGGTACCAATGTTGCAGTAAAATCACTGTCTGCAGAATCTACCCAGGGAACTCGTGAATTTTTAACCGAGATAAATATGATATCAGATATAAGACATCAAAATCTAGTTGAACTGATCGGTTGTTGCGTCGAAGGCACGCATCGAATTTTGGTGTATGAATACCTGGAAAACAACAGCCTTGCGAATACTTTGCTTGGTAAGCTTCCGAAGCATTCAAGTGGATTTTATTTATCCTAGGTCGGTTTAAATTTGTTCTTATGCTTGTAAGAAATTCTGTTTCTATTCTGAAATTTGAGTGCGGTTAACATGTGTCTTATTGTCAGTTTAATCTTCTGACAATGTCCATTCTTTATGTAGCTTGTAAACAAATACTTGCAGTCTTATCTGTTTAGTTGATGAAATTATCATCAGTATAAGATTATCATGAGCAACTATCATTTCAGGTTCATTGAGTAAGGATGTCGTTCTGGATTGGCCAATGAGAGCTAAGATTTGTCTCGGTACAGCTTTGGGTCTTGCATTTCTGCATGAGGAAGCTGAACCGTCTGTTGTTCATAGAGATATCAAGGCTAGCAATATACTTCTTGACAGAAACTTTGATCCTAAAATAGGAGACTTTGGGTTGGCTAAACTTTTCCCGGACAACGTTACTCATGTTAGTACTCGAGTGGCCGGAACTGTGTAAGCGCTGTCTTTCATTATCTTGATATTTCTGAACCTTGCTTCGAAAATATGCTGAGAACGACTTGTTTCCATTGTCTCCTCGTTATTTTTGGCAGAGAAGAAACTTTACTAATTAATTTGCTGCTTCATCTGTGTAGTAATCGGTTCTCATAAATAGATAAAATCAAAAAGGGAACTTTAACAGTTGATCACCGCTATCTTTATGGCTTATGCAGCCTACTCTAGAACCAAAAGTCACCATTATCTTGATTTGACTAATGAGTTTACCAAGGTCAAGTAGTCACTCAGGAAGTAGCTTATCTGATCAAGAGAGATCAAATGTGATGTAGCCATGAATTGGCTGTTGTGGAAAGGTCCAATAAAAAGGTGCTGAGTGGTACATAGGTGCATTGCATTCTTAAGATCTGGTAGCCCATCCCATTTTAGTTTGCTGTCATTGGTTTTGCTTCTTCAGTCATCCTCGCACCCTCAAGATGAAACACAACACTAATTTCTTGATCTTTTATCGCATCATATTCTGTTCCTCTTTTAAGTATTTTCTGACCATTTCGTGTGCCTTCAGTGGATATTTGGCTCCCGAGTATGCACTCTTAGGACAGTTGACAAAGAAGGCAGATGTATACAGTTTTGGTGTGCTCATGCTGGAAGTAATCAGTGGAAGTAGCAGCACCAAGGCAGCATTTGGAGAAGAGTTGTTGATTCTCGTGGAATGGGTACATTTCCATTTTTTTAAAAAAACAAGAACTTATTGCTCATTCATTTATGGAGTTGAAAGTGACCTTTATTTCATGAGTACTACTGTTATATAGTCACCAAGGCTATAGATATGGATACAATATAAAGGGTAAGTGATTTTTACGTAGGCAAGTTAAACTTGTTAGAACTTATTTTTTTGGCATCGTCAATCATATTTCATTTCATTTGTGTGAAAAGGATTTGAGACGTGGATGTATAATCATTTTCCCTGCAGTATACGTCAGTTGATAAATGTGATTTGTGCCACTTGTAGACTTGGAAATTAAAACAAGAAGGACGGCTCGTAGAACTCATTGATCCGGAACTGATCAATTATCCAAAGGCCGAGGTGGTGCGTTTCATTACGGTTGCACTCTTCTGTACCCAAGCAGCAGCAAATCAAAGGCCAACCATGAAGCAGGTCGTGGAAATGCTTTCAAGAGAGGTACACCTTAACGAAAAACTACTGACAGAGCCTGGAGTATACAAAGGACACAAAACTAGGAAGTTAAATGGTGGTGCTGCTGCTGCTTCTATTTCTGGGGGAACATCCTCCTCCCATGGAATCAAATATAAAAAAGCTATGAAGACTTCTCCATCTTCATCTCAATTTAACAGCTCAAACAGTCTGACTCAAATGCTTCCTAGGTGATACTTAACCACTGCTCCTATTCACCTTGTAGTATTTAATATTTTAGGTCCCTCCTTTAGATGCTTTTGCTTTTGGTTTCTCAAAAACGTCTCATTGGAGATAATATTTCCTTATTTGTAAACCCATAATCTTTCCCTTATTAGCTCATATGGTACTACTCTCAATAATCCTCAACAATACAATACTGGGAATGTTTTGGTGAACGGATTGAAGATGATCAAAGGGTTTGCAGGGTTGCTGCTGCACTTGCTTGGGAATAACTGCCGTCTATGTATACATAAATTATTTTCTGTTCGTCTATTGAACTTCCTGAGCGGGTAGGAAAAACTTGTGCCTCCCGTTAAAGAATAGAATATATTTATACTCATGTCTCCTGCTTTTCTGAGCTCAACAAGCGCAGAAACCATGAAGGCTGAGGAGGCTTATTAAACCATGGGAGAATGGGACGCAATTTAGGTGCTTCTTTTTGTTGTATTGTCTATTTTATTAATTTGTTGTGTAAGGTTATTGGTGGATGTTTGACTTGTACGAGTGCTAATGCCACGTTTCCTTTCTTCAAGAAAGGGTTAAAGTGGGGAGAGCATAATGCAACGTTTCCTTGGATCCAGCTGTGAAGAGTGATATTGAGTTGAATTTTCGTAGTTAGGGAATCAAAGCATTTCTTTGGAATAGCTTTTTCAAATTTCAAATAAATGATTTTTCCTTCTTTTTTAAATCTAGTGGATATGGCTGCTTTCGCTCGTCAAAAGTTTACCTTTGACTATTTACGTATCACTGCTAGCTTTATGATTTTAAAATGTGTCTGTTAGGAAGAGAATCTATTTTAAAATGCGTCTATTAGGGAGAGAATCTAGTTTTATTCCGACTAGTGTCTTACACCATCCAATGACTTGCTCGGATACCATCGTGAGATCCCATGTCGATTAGAAAGTAGAACAAAACATTTCTTATAAGTGTAAACATCTCTCCTTAGTAGACACGTTTTAAAAATTGTGATTAACAACGATACATAACGAGTCAAAGCGGACAATATCAAACCATAAAATTTTACTACTTAGTAGTCACAGCATGGAACAAGAAGAATTAAGCCAAGCTAACTCAGCATTGAATCAATTTGGGTCAACACCTGGATTCGCGATTAGTTACCCACCTAGAAAGGCTAAAATTAAAACTCACATGGAAAGACAGTTAACGATGCAGATGCCGTCTACTAAATTAAATGAAAACGAATGCCCCCACGCATTGGGAGTATCGATTACTGTACGATCATCAACCAGGGCAACCTTCATTTAATTTGGCCTTGTTCTGTGTGAGATCTACCTCGAAGTGACAAAATAACACATTACTAGGCAACCCAACAACACTATTTGTGGCGTACGCTATATGCAGTCTTTAATGATCAACTTTTCAGCCCTACGCAGTTGTTGCCCATTCACAGTAACATCATGATCTAAGAGTTTCTTTAATTATGAACTCACTTTTAACTCATACGTTCTGATTATAATGCAAAACAATATATGACCAGAGTTCTTGAAATTTAAAATTAAACATATACATACAATCCAAATGACTAAAGACTATAATTACCAGATTCTTGCAAAACCATTGCAGTCCAGATTTGCTAATGAACCAATTTCGTAGTCTGTGTATTTACACCTGTTGAAGTAACCATTCAGAATAATATAAAATATTTCTCTCTCAATACAACTTGCAAAACAAAATTTTATATCGACTAGGTAAGTGAGACAAATTATCTATAGAAGCATGAAGTCTTTTGGGTGATTCTAAAATAGTAGAAAACACGAGAGTTTATGTTCAAATGGGGCAATAGTATATCATTGTAGAAATATGTGAAACTTCTATTATCCTTATATAAAATATGCTAATTGAAACAAACTCAATACGGAGTAATCTTACCAAGTAGTATTAGAATATAGTGAAGTGGCAGACCATATGTACAATTCCCAAACAGCAGCTTCCATCCACCCAATTGGGTCACAGTAAGTTGAAAATTTCTTGGGGAACAACATAGTAAAGCAATAAGAATGAATTTGTGATGCTAAAGCAACCTTAAACTGGAGAAGAACTTCTTCAGGGTTTTATGACCCCATGTTATGTCATTCTGAACGATACTATCGTTGACTTCCTGCAAATCAGATTCATTCGCAATTTTATTTGTGTCATCCTCTTGTCTAATTTCACTTTGGACGACATTTTCTTCATAACTTGACTTCGCTTCCATCTCTAGTTCTACCACGACATCAGGATCCTGTATGTTCTGAGATTAATACATAAGAAATACGAAGGCATTAGAACATTATATAACACAGTACAGCAGTAGATGAGGTTGAATCAATCATAGCACAAAAGAACTAAATTAGTGAGTTGTAGTCCCATGCTTCCAGAGTGGGATTTCAGTTGCTATCAAATATTAGATCACAGGTTTATTTGCATTTTTAAAAGTTTAATAGGTAATTGAACGTGTAATTTGAAGCAGAGCATTAGGAGAGAATCACAGTTATGTTTTACTCTTATAGGCTATACCGATACTTGATGGCATGAAAAATGTTTGGTTGTGCGATAATTTGAATTGCTGGTGGTATGAAATAAGCAAAATAGAATTAAGATACCAACATTGGAATTATCAGGCCATAGAACTATGACAGCGATAGGCGAGGCTTAGTATCGAAAATTATACAAGATCACTTGCATGGCCAGTGTCAAGTTTCATCATTTGCACATATCAATTCGAAAACATTTAAGCTATCAAAAGTTATGTCCTTTGTAGTCAGGATCTCCTTCAAAAGTACAATACACGGTGCACACAAATTGCAAGGTCGATTTTTGAGGTAACAAAAGTTGAAGCAGGAAAAAAAATGCTAAAAGTAGGTCAGGCCATCAAGCTGTTACCTCAGGTAGTTTATGATCGTTAGATTCATTAATTCCATCGATGGAACCATCATCTTTGACTTCATGTTGAGGTGCATCCTGATTTGAGGTTGTTGGTGTTGGAGGTAAACCAGGAACTAGAACAGGAACGCCATAGTTGATAAAGCTTTCTTGAACATCCGCATTCCTAGGGATCTTCGCTGTTTCTTCTTTCTCATAATTTTCCAAAACTTCCTCTGTTCTCTTTGTTTCACTCTGGGATATAATTGTTGTCTCCCCATTTGGATTGCCGTATACCTCGCTCACATCCTTGTTACTTGTATTGAGAATGTAGCTCTCCTTTGTTGAGATTATATTCGATGCCATAATATCTTTGGTATTCTCTTCTGAAGCAGAGACATTACTGCCATTTTCTTCTGAAGCTGAGATGTTACCGCCAAGAATCAACACTTCATGCGATTCCACCGATGATTTTTCTACTATTGAAGCATCGGCAAGAGCAAATGATGAATCCTCAATCATTAACTTTTCTGGGACAACGGGAGAATGATCATCCTGGTTAACAATGTTTTCTTCTTCACTGAGCATCCGTGAGTCAGCACTATCCCAATCTTCAGAAACGATGATTGTATTAGATGTTTCCCAGGGTTGAAATATTCGATCAGGACCAGGTTGCCATACGACATTCCCAGTTTCTCCTTGAAGTACGAATTTGAATTGGATTGCTTTTCCAACAGGAATCTCCTAATTTGCCAAGAAAAAAAAAATTATGACCAAATATTAAAATCGTCTAAGAAACTTGTTTCTTTATATTGAGATTTTTATGTTCTTGATATCTCTACTTACCACTTCTGCTGCCCATAGATGCCCATCTGCCCAGTTTAAAGGTATTGCACTTGTAACGTCCCAGGAACCAAAACTTGGATCATCACCTACTACAAAGAAATGCTCCCCAAATGTACACTCTTTCTGCAGCTGGAATTTGACGCGAACTGTCTTTGATTGATCTGTATAAAAGATGTCGATACAAAAGTATGAGGCTATTTTCCCAGAGGAAGTAATCATTTATTATAAATCATTTTGACTTACTCGTGCCTTGATTCTCAACTACCTCATTCTGAGTATCTGCCTGCAAAGAACCAGTTGTACCAAAATCAGGATGATTCTATTAGCATACATACATCCTTGCAACAATCTTTTCCACAATCACTTCCTAGATTTTCTGGAAATAATAATCTACATATTGTTGAAGCATAGCCATTTCTGGACTTCCGAAGTTCCTCTTATTCTTGCTTTGATCTAACATAAACCTTCAGGAACCGACTCCTTTATTCAATGAAGAAACTGACTTAATGTCGAGACATACAAAATATGAGTAAATAAAGAACAGAGAATGCGTTTAATAACTCAAGATCGACGGCGTAGCGCTATCTTAGTCGGTGAGAGACTTTCATATGAGCAAAATCGCACTTTGAAGGCTCCTTCTTAGTTACAGCAACTTAGTTTACACAGCTTTAACTCCCGATCATTCATCAAGAATCCATAAACAAAATAAACCGCGAAGAAAGTTTGCACAGCTTATCTCTCAATCACACATTAAGAAGCCATAAATAATAATTAAAAAACGGTGAAGAAAGTAATCCAACAATCCAAGATTCTTCAAGAAAACAAAAAAGATACCAAACGAAGCCGTAGAACAATCACAAAGCAAGAACTTCCGATACCGAAAAAGGAAGAGACCTGCTGATGAGACGAGAAGCAAGAAAGAAATTCAATGCCTCCCCGGCGCAACGATACCAAATGCTGAAGTCCAGAACTAGTCAATTTCCGATGCCTCCGATAAGAGACGAATTCAGGTCCTCCACAAAGAAGACGCTCTTTCAGCGAAGAAGCAGAGAAGGAAGAAGGAGCTGCATTGTTACCGATGATGGAGTTGGAGGTCGCTAGGGTTTTCATCCTCTCCACAATCTTAGTCTGCCACTGACAATGACACTCTCAGAGCTTAGGTCTCGCGCCTTAATGGAGTTTCTGGTGGTTGCCATTATATAACGGTGGGGCCTCGTGAGGATAAGGGAAAACGACTTCTCACGTGCATCATCCGAATCGAACACGTGTCCCAAATGACCAATGGGATCACGTGGGCATACGAACAAATCCAGGAATCTCATGCTTCTCATTAAATTTATCCACTCGCAAACGTTTAGATCACGATGAAGTTACATTTTTTTTTTAAAATCCATGAAATATAACAAAAAAAAAAAAAAAAAAA